GAAGAACACATAGGCTACTCGCTTTTGTTTCTTTTTAATTCCTCGCGAACGGAGTCGCGGGCGAAAGGTAGTATTGAATAAAATAAAACCTTATTGCATCAAAATGTCATTTTTTAAGAAATGTTTAAAGCAGTCTTAGACGTGCTTTCAAAAAATTGACTGATTAGTTAATCCCATGATGTGTAGTAATGATATCGCATTCGCTTTTCATATATTACCTATTTCATAATTTTTCGTAAGGTTTTTTTTATTACCGACGAGCCCCAAAAGTTGTGTCGTGTACCATTTATGGCACGTGTACCACTAGTTCGCCACCCCTGCACTAGACTGTGTACAAGTTTTTACACATATGAACGTTTTCGTAATACTTAGACGTTAATAAGTTTATATTTGCGGGAATTAAATATGCGTTAATTGGTCTTGCGTTTTAGTAACGGTTAAATGATGTTTATATTGAAAATCGTAATTAATATAGCTTGAAAGTCGTACATATATCACTGTAATATAAGGCAATACATATACAAGGAAAATAGATATGAAAAATACTTAGAACTATCTGTTCCCGTACGACTTCATCCGCATGAAATTATGAAAATTTTATTTTATTGTTTACATGTGCCAAATTATTAATTACAAATGTCAAAATGACATGACATGATGACAACCTTGCTTCCTTGATGTTGGCAGCAACTTATGGTCTCTTTCCCACATTAGGGTTTTTATCCAAAATATTTACCCTTAAGTTTAATGGCGTTAAAATATATAGCGTAAAGCGTGACGTAAGTGTAGGGCTTTTTATTAAAAAAATATTCAAAAATATGCTGTAATTGCTGACATCTTAGGCAACAAAGAAGTGTGTTTACGCTTTATTGTAATAGTGTAGATATAAGACCATATTAATCTTAATATGACGTTGGGGCCATCAAGAGTAGTGACAAGATATTGATTAAGTTAAGATTTTTCGATTTCACTAACGTTCAAGTGGCGTCGTGGTCAAATTTAACGAACATAAAAAAGTTAGCTGCTTTTAAAGACCTAACTAACATCGGAGATGACCTTGGCTATGACCTTCAAGGAAAGATACGAATAACACCTGGTCATACTCAATCGTTCAGGCTAAGGAAGGTCAAAATGGTATATACATTCCCCTGCTAGCAGCAAAAATTAGCAGTAAATTATTAATAATGTTAAGAAGAAAATTAGTACCGGGCTGTAAAATTGGCGCAACACTAGATTGTCGGCATAAAAGTAACGTCCCTAGCTGACAGCTGTCAATGTCATTAGAAGGATAGATATTCGCGCGCATTCCCGACGAGATCTCCAGTGCAGTGTTAAAATTAATATCGCTAGTTACAGTTATATTAATTGTTTAAATGTAGGAATAATGAAAACGAAGTGTAATACAACTTTCAAGTAAGATTCATATCTGTACTTAATTAACCAACAATTCTCTGTTTTACGGCGAAAGTTGCCAATGAAAGTAAAATGAAGGCATCTCTGTACCAAACATTTAAATAAACAAAGATTTCTGTACGTTTATTACTGTAGATTAAAGTCTAAATGATTAATAATAATAACTAATATAATAAATAAATGTGAAAGTTTAGATGCATGGATGTATGTTTGTAGCCTAAACGGCTTAACGGATCTCGATGAAATTTGGCATAGATGTAGTGCATAGTTTGGAAGAACACATCGGCTACTTACTCTTGTTTTATGTAGTTACACGAAGACGAAGTCGCTGGCGAAAGCTAGTATATCAATAGATTACAAATACCATGTCCAAATTGTTACACGAAGTGTGGGTTTTGGATTATCGCATCGTTTTCCTTAATCTCACTATAACCAATCTCTCCTAATAACCATGATTTTATAGCGAGCGATGTACTTCGAAAAACACTCGGGGCCTATTCCGTAACTCAACGTTAAGCAACTGAAGTAACCATTCGATTTATTATCGCACGCATCAACAACCGCAAGATATTTGTAATTTTAAAAACGCAACTTTATATGGATTGACAGCTCGTTAGCCACTTTAGTTGCCAGTTATTAAAAAAAATCTATTCATACTTTGCCACTCTTAGTAATTTAATTGTAACTTAAACAGACCTTTACATAATTCTTATATTAAATGTAAGGTACTTCGACACCAATTCGAAGTCCTAAATAATAGTTCCTAACAGAACCTAATCAATAACGCAGTCAAGCGCATAATGTTTACAAACACTGGCTGACAACATTATTTATAGGTTATATAGATTTCTTTATGAATGGTAAAGAGGTAAACGAACAAGCAGCCACCTGAATTCACCAAAAAGGCGACCACTGCCCATAGACATCCACAATTGCGGATGCGATGTCTATCTTTAATAGACAGAGGATGTGACGCAAATAAAGAGGACATTTCCCATTCCTATATGTCTCCTAACGTCAAATCAATTTTCCCTTTCTATCCATTCCTTATAAGAAAAGGATGGAAAGGGAAAAGATAAATTATGTCACCAGTACGCACACTCATCAGACGAAACATAGAATTGTTTCTACTTCACGCTTGTCTTCAGTGTGGTCATTCCTGCGAAGATATTAAAGCGGGCTCTACCACTATCAAGACTGTTTCAATAAAAATAATACAACAGCCGTTAATCCATCATAATATTTACCACATATTCGCAAGAGAGCCAGGGGGCAAAGCTAGCTAAATATATAAATATAATGACACGTCTGTGAGTACCGTTGCGACACTGACATGCCGTTTTGAGCAGATAATTCACAGCTTGCCCAACGCGCCGCTGGCTAGTGCAAAAGATGTTATGATCGAGAGAACAATAACGTGTAATTGTACGAAGAGCATGCTCTTGCTTGAAAGTCGGGAGATTTATATAATCTGTAGTTATCATATTAATACTGCATAGGGAATATTGTGACAAACTGCCAATTCGGTATATAAAGATACGATTTATTTGCAAGGATTAATATTCTTTATATTAGAAATTGTGAATTTTCTGTCTACGAGTACTAGGCAGATTTCATGAATGTAGTTTTTTATATTTTTTTTTACAATTTTTCATTCTCTTGGGAAGGGGGGGGGGGGCCCCCCCCCCCTGGCGACTGTTGCATAGTTTTGACTTTTTGACATCAGAGACGAAACGCTAATGTACAATTTTATGGCAATGTTAAATCTTACACAATAAGGCAATTTTTATATTCTGTTTTGACGTGAAAATAATTGATTTTACTGTACAGATTATATTTGGTTAAAATTAGTTGGTTTATATTATTTTTACACTGTATAAAACTATTATCATAATAGATAATTTACATTTAGGTTAATACTAGCTTTCGCCCTCGACTCCGTCTGCGTGGAATTAAAAAACAAAAGAAAGTAGCCTATGTGTTCTTCCACGCTATCCTCTACATCTATGACAAATGTCTTTGAGATCCGCCCGTCTAATCTTTCGCATTTATAACATTAGTAAGATTGCGTAAATATTAATGGAATTTAAGAATTATATGATGGCAACACTGAAAAAGTCAACGACACAAGTCGCATGAAAAGTGACAGTACGATGGCGCGAAACAATGGCGTCACTTATCATCAGCTGATTTTCTTGGATAAGCATTGAATATAAAATGGTAATACCGTATCTAAAATCTATGTCATAAATACGCTGCTTTTGTTTATTGGCGTGAGAATTATACGAGGCATTTATGTAATTTTAGTTATTTGCCGCCAAATAGAACAATTGTGTGTAACGCAATGTATTTGCGCGGAAATTTCTTAACCTACAAATATCAAATAAATCTTAATAAAAACTAGGCTAGACTATTTAAAAATTACTTCACAAGTAAAGTTTATTTGAGTTACGTTAGATAATAGTTTCTTGTCATTAGATGCTGTAAATGTTGCCATTAAAAATATATTTTCGTAAAACTGTAAACAACTAAACTTTTCAATCAGATATTGTCTTATTTTAACCGATTAAATGTAAAAAAAATTATTGACTTTGAACAGCGTTCTCTCTACAATCTCAATAGCTTAGTATCTCGGTAATGCGGAATCTAAAAAAAAACTGTCAATCAAGTATGTCGGTAGAAATGTAATTGCAGGAACTGACATACTCTATGTAGGGAATGTACGGTTTGTCGTGTCGTGACATTTTATAGCTCGATAACACTGTTAACAGCTTCAAGCTTCAGGTTTTCTAAACCTTTGGCGTTAAAAACGATAACGACTCGATGAGAATGTTATATTTCATGAATATTGGACAAAAGTTTGTAAACCCCTTTCATAGGGAAAGGAAGGGAAAGTAGATCTGTCGAGGGACGGGACATAGTTAGGGGAAATATCTGCTGTCAGTACGTTCCCTCCTCTGTTAAATTTAGGTATGGCAAAGAAGGCAACGCATCTGTAAATGCAAATCTCTATGGGCACCAGTAAATCGCTATTTTGGTGAATGCTTCTTGCCCGTTTGACACTTTACGTTATTTTAAAAAAAACTAGAGAGGGTTACTGTCATAATACCTATAGATGCAATTATTATTTTTAATTATTTCAAAAAACTTTCATTGGCCAGTGTACTTGGGCTAATGCAGAAAGGAAAGGAATATTCCGGGCACAAGGTCGCAAACTTTGATCGTCTTCAGGTCAAATCGACCACACGAGTGTAGCAATTAGTGACTCTTGTGTAAGTCACAATTAAGTTACATTTAAGTGTACAAGCTTATATAATCTAAACTTTGCTGAGACGAATTAAAAAAATCAATTGTTGTTAGGTACGATTCTAAACAGCTTGTAACGAATTACAATTTTCCAAATGTTTCTATTTCGGATTATTTAATTTAAAGATCATTTTAATTTGAAATGCCTACACTTGAGTCTTATTATTTTCCTTTTTGGTACTTTCTTAAATATTAAAATCATTACTTTCATTTAAGCTCGTTTTATTTTAACAAATCAATAAAATCAACCAATAACGTAATTATAAATAAAAAAAACTTACCTCAACAAATAATTACTGGCAACACAAATCACTAGAAAAAAAAAACAATTCAAAAAGCGCGCCGAGTCAACTTTTAGAGGTTAGTTTTGGCGCGTGCGTGGTCTGCGTCCGCGCGTGTCGCACTGGCAGGCAACACTCCGATATGAATGGCTTTGCCGGCGTTTGGTGAACTTTGATTATTTCATCCAAAGCTTCTAACAATAACATTTTAGATCAAGGTTTCCAAATTAAGAAGGGATAAATTTTAAACTAAATTTGCAAATTGATAATAATGTATCAAACGAAGGATTGTTGACAGTAAAAGTTTAAAATTAAATGCATTTTAACATCTCTACAACATATTTCTTGGTAAGTTCAATAGTTATTTTTTATAGTTTCAATTCGTATCTTCAATAATAGCATAATATAATAATCACTTAACAACCACAGATTCAACAAAACCGCAAACCAATCGTGCGTAAAGTTACAGCATCGCAAATTATTGGTCACGGTAGATCCTAGTTGGACAATTGTTTACTGATGCAATCTTATAATGAAACCTTCGCATTGACAGAAGCCATAAATCGTGCGTAAATCTACTAATACTATTATTATTATAAAGAGGAAAGATAAAGATAAAGAGGAAAGATTTTTATTCTTATATGTATTTGTCACATAAAATTTCCTGAGCCGATTTCAAAAATTGTTACTGTGAGTAACATAGTTAGGATATATAGTCATGAGAAACAGCTTTTTAAAATACCATAAAATAATTCTCCAGAAACAAGGAAAGTAGGCATCTCCAATATTAGTCGCTATAATGTTACATATATTCTATTTTTTGCAAAAATGTAGATAATCATGAAAAAAAAACCTACAAACAAGCATCCATATATCAAAACTTTCGCGTTTGTAACTTAAGTAAGAAGTAAGATTATAGATTTTTCCACCTTCCAGCGATTTTTTATTTTTTTGGTCACCACAAAATACTCTTGAAATTATTTTTGTGTAAGCGAAAAATTTGAAAAATACTCAAAGTATGATAGATCTTTATATGATTTTGAAAATAAAACAGTCAATAATTAAACTACTAATTCCTTAACTTAACTAAGTTAGGATCTAACTAAGTTTTAATACCAGAAGCTATGTTGATGTACAGTCGCGGGCGCAGCAACTTTCCATTGCATTACGTCACACGTGTGCCGCCGTATGTGTACGGTTAGCAAAACATATTTAGCTATTTGTTTTTCAATTTTCTTTTTAATATAAAAAATTAGTTATTAAGAGAACATAAAAAGTGTATAAGTATTCTCGGTTTTATGTAGACAACAAATTATTTTTTTTTTAAATTTCAAATAAAGCTTTACAATATTGACTTAAAAAGACTAGTACAGTGTACTACAAGTATGCGGCACTGTACTGCAAGAATGTATTCTTGTCCTAGAAAAGTGAAGGCATTCTGATGCTCAAAGGTCTGAGTAGTTATTGAGATAACATCCGTGAGGCTGAGGTAATTGAGAATCTATTCACAAGGTCACAAGATTTTTAGCCTAGACTAAATAATTTATTTTTCAGATTATAGCTTTTTTCTTTTAATTAACATTATAAATGCAAAGTTTAGATGGATGGATATTTCTTAGAATTTGTAGCTGAACGGGTTTCGATGAATTTTAGGAAATAGATGTAGAAGATAGTCTGGAAGGACACATAGGATGTTTGCTTTTGTTTTTTTTTTTAATTCCACGCGGACGGAGGCGCGGGCAAAAGCTAGTTTATTTATGTAATTGACGTACAAAAAAAAGTGTTATATAAAGAATTTACAAAAACATGTACATGTTTGAAATGTAAACATAATTATAAAAAAAATACTTTTATTTCATCTATATTTTTTTCCAAACCGTACATAAACTAATTCAGTTCGTACAGTTGACGAGATTAATACACCTACACTTGTTAACATTTAATAAATGCTGTCGCTTTAGTTCTTATGACATAGTTAATAAGAGTTAAAATATATAAAACCAATAGTAAATGGTGTAAGATCGTTACTTCTAGTTACTTCACCATATCTGACAGTTCATAGAAAAAGCTTTTACCGGCAAACCTTAATCTTGTTTGTTGAATCGATATGATATAAGTGCAAATTACAAAATAGAGGGTCTATCAGGAATATTTACGTGACAGTTACGAGACCGTATTCGTAACGTCATCGAAAATATTTGTATCAGATTAGCTGATATATTTTACACCCGGTATGGGCGCTGCATATTGTTATGAAAACGTTCTCACGAATATTCATGATAAGTTCTACTTGCAGAAGACGGGCGCACGCCTTTGATTAAACTATCGCACAACTGCCATGCGATTGTCGATTGTTTATTGGTTTTACAACATTCTTTTGTTTATTTTTTGTAATTAAATTGTCAATACATCATACTAATGTTATAAAATAGTACTGTGTACTGTGCGTTTCGCAGCAGTCAACTGTTTGGTTGCACAACTAAAAATCGAGTAGTGTCCGCACCTCAAAAGCTCATACAAATCAAAGCGAGGCTATCCACTTGTGCGATAGTCAAAGGAGTGCGCTCTTGATTTTATAGAGGGCCAAACAGACAACACAAATAGGGCAACAAACAAAAGAATTCAGTGACGTTGAAGTCATCATTTTTCTTCCACAGACATAACAATTAGGGGTCATTTTAAGGTCAAATTGACCAACAAAAAACATGGCTTACTTAAGCGAGACATTTCATGGTATTCTATTGTTTTCCACGAGGCGTAAGATTGACCTTACAATCTCACTTATTGTGTTTTAACTACAAAGGACGCATAGAAGTATGTAGCGAATTTACTAAAAGTTAAATAGAATTTCTTAATTATTCACATAAAACATGAATAACGAAATGAATATTCATCATCAATTTGCCCTTATCCCTTACGGAGGGTCGGCACAGTATGCGCTGCTCTTCCATACATCTCAATCAGCTATATCTGAAACCACTCCTTTCTTAAGCATATCCTCTTTCACACAATCCATACTTTCTTTGGTCTTCTTCTTCCTTTGTAGCCATCCATATTCATTCTTAACTATTTCTGGTTTATGTCCCCATCCTCCTGTCGCATAACATAACAGGTATGGACCACGCTAACGAAAAGAAATAGTCTAAACTAGCTTTCATCCGCGACTCCGTTCGGGTAAAAAAAACAAAATTAAATTGTCTCCCTGTTTTTTTAGATTATACTCTACATCGATCACAAATTTCACAGATATCCCTTTCGCCTCTCATTTATAATATTAGTAAGAGTAAAATTATAATAACAGCTTAATAGCTGTCAAACAGAATGTCAGTTTTGTCTACCCCGGGCGGTATACCGTCGCAATGAAACGAGCAGGAGCGTAGAGAAATGTTATTAGATCTCCCTGACATTTAACTAAGCACAAGTTACTGATGGAACAAGTTATAACAAATTATAAAGTACTTCAAGTAATTTATTTTCCGTATGAATCCCCTACATAATATTACTATTAGTCCTGTCTATACTAAGATATGGTCCTTACTTAAGTTTAACTTAGTTGTAACTTAACATGGTAGTATTGTCCGGTCGCGGGCAAGCCCGCCCCGTTTCCCACGCTGAATCACTTTCCGTTTCTATCAGACCGTTCAACTCACGATCTGCTAGTGATTTGTTAATATCGATAGCATTTATCGATAAAAATCCCCAATTTAAAACAACATTTTTTCCAGAAACGTAGATAGATCTTTTTACAAATATTATAAAGAGGAAAGATTTGTATTTTTAGATGTTTGTAGGTATTGAAATAATTCATAAATTACTGGGCTGATTTTAAAAATTCTACTATTAAAAAGCTTTTTGCTGAGTAACATAAGCTACGTTTTTTAATTCAACTTGAACGAATGTGCTATGAACATATTTCTAAAATGTGCTAATTTATCCTCTTACCGTTATTTTCCTATATATTTACGTTTTTGTATTATATTACATTAATTTTAAGATATACTCTAGAACAATATCAGTTTGTTTTCTCAATATCGATATATTGGATACTTAAGGCACATCCCTATTGATTGTACAATGAATCGATATCGATCAAGCACAGAGATGTACCCATGACTAACTGTTAATTTATCTTATGTAATATACGAAATTGCAGGTTTTATAAAAATCTGGATATGGTTTTTATGTTATTACGTAGTCTATGACGTCATCGAGGTGTAAAGAAAGATTTGCGTAGTATTATTCAGTTGTCTATTTAGTTAGACCTGGGATATGAAAAATCAGTATATTTAGATTAATAGTGTAATTAGGAAAAGAAGAAAAATAATCATGAAATCCTTACGGGTCTGAAATAGCAATAAGTTGTATAACGATATTTCAACACATGTCACTAAGTTTCCGTAGTGTAGCGGTTATCACGTGTGCTTCACACGCACAAGGCCCCCGGTTCGATCCCGGGCGGAAACAGGATTTTTTTGTTTTTAATCTTTACATACTTTACGAATAAAAAAAACTCTCTTTTGTTACTTTTACATGTAGAGTAATAAGACTATTTATAAAGACAGTTTTTTTTTATTTTATCTTACAAAATGTACCTTTGAATGTTATTTTTAATATCGCATAGTACAAATATCAGCGCTAGATGGCGTTTTATACGTTGTTACTGAAAGTTGTAATAGTGTACAAAATGTTTCATAGATGGCGTTAATATAAAACAAAAATAATTAAACCACTGCAATATCATGTGCAAAAACTAAACGCTTATCATTACGTAATTAAATTAGAGGTTATTCAAACGTCAGATTCACACACATATCATGTGATATCAAATAAGTTTGTTGGACTATAGCTTGTATGTACAAGCTATAGTCCAACAAACTTATTTGACCCGGTGAAAGGGCGCTGATATCGCCGTTAGTTGTATTCTGTCCGAAAATGTTGTCAAAAATGCTTAGAGCGGGTGTACACATTGGACTAAACTATCGCACAAATGTCGTGCGATTGTCGATTATTTCGCAATCAATTTAACTGTTTAGATGAACAACTAAAAAGCGAGTAGTGTGCGCACCTCCTTCTAATCTCATAGGAAATAAAGCGAGACTAAACAGTTAGTTAAACAGTTAGTTTCAGGTATGCGCGCGCTCTTAAAGACAAGAAACCAGTAACAAAGACCGGGACAGATAACTTTTTAGTCTATATTGTAATTTAGTCACACTCGTCCACCGGGTCAATAAGTTTATCGGACTATAATTCGAGTCTCTCCTGGAATGGCATCTATTGTTTTTTTTAGTTACTTAGTTTACCTGCAGTTTTTTTCATTCTTAAATATTATCTACACGTTTATGCGTAATTAAATCTCTAAAATAAGTAATAATGAGGCGGTTGTCCTTGTATTTTCTGCCAAAGTTTAAAGACAAAAATAACATTTTTTTTGCAACTAGAATTCTCAGAAGCTTTATCATCATGTGTTCATAGAATCGAAAAAATAAAACATACTTAAAAATAAACTAAAATCAGTATTTGAGAAAGAACGGTGATTGGCTGAGATTTTTAATCATGTGGCCTAAAGCACTTCTTTTCAAGTCATCTTGCAGGCTTTAAAGAAAACACTTTTTACTTAAAATATAAATCTATACGTCTATACTAATTTAATAAAGCGTAAACACACACTGCTTTGTTGCCTAAAATGTCAGCAATAACAACATATTTTGAATAATTCTTTCTTTAATAAAAAGCCCCAAACTTACGTCACGCTTTAGGCTATATATTTTCACGCCATTAAACTTAGGGGGTAAATAAATTGGATAAAAACCTTAATGTGGAAAAGAGACGATAAGTTGCTGCCAACATCAAGGAAGCAAGATTGCCAAGGTTTTTCATGTCATGTTGACATTTGCAATTGCTAATTTGACAAAGGAACAGCTAGTATATACTACTAAAGATATAGGTGCGTTGGTTTACGACAAAAGAATTACGCGATTTGAACCCACGACCTACTAGTGTCTCGATTTGCATCACTTTTACGCCTATTTCCAGCATTTTGCAATAACTTAAACAAGAAGTTTCAATATAAAAATGAAAATTATCTCAATTATCGAATGAAGTGTCCTCATTACGATTTACATTTCACAGTTACTTCCTTATAAACAAAGAACAGGAACTTTAGTCCACCTAAAGTACAAAAGGCGTTAAAGCATTCTTAGTGCACGCGGAAACTCCGTGCGGAACGCGCGTTTATTACGATAAAATTATCGCACGATTTCAAGATAGCCTCGCTGCTGGAAAGATATTCAGGTAAGTTTTATTTATTACTAGCTTTTGTCAAAGGTAAGTAGCCTGTGTTCTTCCTACCTATGCTCTACATCTATACCAAATTTCATGGTCCGTTTCTGATTGATTTAACTAATTTATAATAAACTAGCTGTTTGCGACTTCGCCCGCGTAGAATTAAAAAAACAGCCTATCACTCACTGATGACGTAGCTTTCAAATGGTGAAATAATTTTTGAAATTGATGCAGTAGTTTTTGAGTTATTTTAATACATAGGAAAATACAAATCGTTTCTCTTTATAGTAGTACAGAAGTATAGTACCTTGATATATTAAGCGCGTAAGTACAGGTTTTAAGTCCCGCATTACACGGTTATTTTATTAAGTACGAGTTTCTTTCAAAACAATAGTACAGAAATATATGTATGTTCCTTTATTGCCCTTAAGAAAAGACAGATAAAAATATCTCAATATTTTATTTCTGTCGGTATTTCACTGTATTAAGTTATTTTTGCAATATTTTATTTTTTTGTAATATATACTCTACTTGCTGTTTCCGAGCTCATCCGCATGAAATTTTAAAATTTTATTTCATTATTTACATTTGTCAAATTATCAATTCCAAATGTCAAAATGACATGATGACAACCTTGCTTCTTTGATGTTGGCAGCAACTTATGGTCTCTTTCCCACATTATGATTTTTATCCAACATATTTATCCCCTAAGTTTAATGGCGTGAAAGTATATAGCCTAAAGCATGACGTAAGTATAGGGCTTTTAATTAAAAAAAGAATTATTCAAAAACATGCTGTAATTGCTGACAACTTAGGCAACAAAGAAGTGTGTGTTTACGCTTTATTATAATAGTATAGATATAGATAGATGAATATTCAAGTTATAATAAGTAGAACACTTATCCTTAAATGACATTTCAGTAAAGGAAATATTGTATATTAAAGCACGTTTTTCCTTAATGCTGTCTAGAAAATTATGTTTTACTTGTTTATTAAGTTAAGATAGAACATAAAGATTGCGGTAAACATACGGACAATGTCTCACATACTTGTTACAGAAATATTTTATCTTACTATCTTAAAAAAAAATAACATTTGGATGGATGGATCAACATCTCTCCTGCCATATCCTACTCTCGTAGGGTCGGCGCACCGGGTTTTCGTCCCCCAAAGCACTAACAGTAAATATGTATGGACTTGGGTACCCAAAGACAATCCGGTGTCCTGTAGGGTCCAATATTATAGCAAGATCCCGCTAGATTTTGGATTCCGACTTTCATGAATTACAGATTTTACAGTTCCTATCAATAAGCGTGTGGTGAAGCGATAATAGGCCATTGTCGCTTCTTTCTCGGTCTAGTATTAGTCCCTTTCCTTTCCCACCATTTTCTTATTTGGAAAGGATGGTAACTAAAATGGATTTAGGGGTGGAGGAGGCACATTGGAAGGGAAAATATACTCTTTATGAAAGGCTACTTCTAGGGTAATTAAGCGTAGGTAATCTGCAATTGCGGATACTTTCTCGGCGAATTCAGGTGGCCGCTTGTTTGCCACTTTATAGTATACAAATTCTGAAATGCATCTTATGTAATTTAATTAAAACAGTGTAATAGCAGTCACATTATCCAGATTGTCTATAATTCTATTGATAAAATTAAAATTAATGCGATTAAAGAGAAACAATGAAAACCTAACGTGAAATAATTATCGGTTCCATTCTGTATTGCATGGATTTACTGTAATTAAAAGTGTATTCTTTTACGTCACAACACGACGAACTGTTTTGTTTTACTGTGAACTAGCTGTTGCCCGCGACTTCGTCCACGAGATATAAAGATAGAAACTAGCCTTTAACATGCTCGTCTGTTAGTTACCCATCAGTGAAAGCCCGGTCGAAGTCGGAACATTTCCGAACTCGGTAATCTCGGAAACGGCTCTGAGATTACAGAGAGCCAAAAATTCTTCATCATCCCGAAATCTGGAATTTTTATTTAGATATTACAAACAGACACTCCAATTGTCTTATACATGTATAAATATATGGTAATACAGCAAAAACAATCTCACGAAATCGACGTAAAAACAATTTTTATGGCCAAAACTTTTAACTATAATATAACAACATTTTATTCATATGCATTGGACGGTTAATATTCTTTTTTAAATAAGATACGAATATCTTTTACTAATTGACTAGCTGTAGCTCCCGACTTCGCTAGCGTGCTGTTAAAAAATATGTCACTCACAGATAAATTACCTTTCTAATGGTGAAAGAATTTTTACAATCAGCCCAATAGTTCTTTATAATGTTAGTATGGATATAAATGTATATAATTACTCATTTTCAACATTTACTTTCTATACAAACTGTAATTTATATATAGTTTTCTCGTGTCTACACGTTGTCTACCTTTTCAACACGCATGTGTTAGTTTTTATTCTATTTCTTGTTTATGGCTCTCCCTCAGCGGATTGGGCCAGTGTCAAGTTGTTAGTTTTTTTTTAAATAATCGACCATTTAACCTTATTTTATTGGCTAATAGGAATAACAATTAATTATTCATTAACCTGTCGATATCTTTGCTAATGGCAGTTCCAACACGTGTCGTGTGCTAACGAAACTTAACGGATATCCATTAAAGCCACAAACGTGGTATATTCTGGAAGAATAAAGTGTGCTAAGTGTTTTTATTAATTTCGCGCGGAAATCACGGGTAAAAGTTAATGTAACTATGTTTTTACTAGCTGTTGTCTGCGACGTCGTCCGCGCAATATTAAGATAACAAGTAGACTATAATATGCCCGTCTATGTTAGCAGTTTAGGAGAATTACCTGGAACAAACACGGCTTGCTGACAGACAGACAATCTTTTTTTAAATTTCCGCTATCGGCAACGCAAATACATCGTCTTCCTGAAATCTGGATTTTTTTTTATATTGCAAACAGACGCTCCAATTTGTTATAAGTATAGATTACTCGAGATCGTATTGTGTTTGTCCATAAAAGTTGTCTAATTTATTTTAATATGAATATTTTTCAGATTTAACAATGCCTGAAATTGTGAAGCAGTTTCCAATAGAAAAGGAATATGAGAAGAATAAAAGTATCACAGCAGATGATATAAATAAATTGAGAGAATGGTTGATGACTCAGAAACATTTACCTGGTGAACATCTTAGTGGTAAGTTGTTTTTTTTTTATATTATAAGGTGGGAGACTAGCATGCGGCCAAATGAAATCGCCGAAATGACGAAGCGACCGCTGCCCATAGACATGCGCAATTGTAAATACGTTGCTTACTCTTAATGGACGAAAGAGGAGACGCATATAAAGAGGATATTTCCCTTATAAGTCTCCTCCACCGTCAAATCCATTCCCATTCCTTCTTCTTAACAAAAGGGTAGATAGGGACTAAAATTAGCCTTCCGTTGTACGTAGAATAGTAATTCTAAAGGTGTATACTCAATGTCAAGCTAATTTAGTACGTTGTGAACGGGGTAAACGAGCAATAAACAAGCCAGTCAGTTTGCACCTTAACACTCGTTAGTACTCGTATAAGCGATGATCATTAACGATTTACCTTCATTAACGTATGATACAGGAAACAATTACATAAATGAGTCTTGTCTAAAGAAAATCATGTAGTTTAAAACGATCGTATTAATGACTGCTAAGTGGTACTAAACGTACGGTTATGAGTACTTACTATAAGGCTACCTTAACACTTCTATAAAATATTGTCCCATCCTCTGTGTATTTTACCTAATTTAAGTTCCTTTCTCTTTACCACCCTTTTCTTATAAGGAGAGGTTGGGAAGAGGAAGTGGATTTGACGGTGGAGGAGAAGCATAGGAAGGGGAAATATCCTCTTTATATGCGTCTCCTCCTCCGTCGTATAAGGGTAGGCAACGCATCTGCAATTGCGGATGTCTATGGGCAGCGGTCGCTTCGCCATTTTGGCGGTTTCAGGTGGCCGCTTGCTCGTTTGCCACCTTATGTTATAAAAAAAAACCTTATGTTATAAAAAGATTTTACGATGTAATAGGAATTAATACGTTATCTTACAGCCTTACAAATTAGCGCTGTATGAAGTTAACCTTAGGAATAGTGTCTTTTGGAGTTGTGTCTTCTAACAAAAGCAAAGAGTAATCATCATTATTTCCAAGCCAAATCTAGTGAGACTCGTAACTTACGTGCTGTTCACCAACATGATCTTAAATTGCCTATCATAAAAAATCAAAAGAAGGAGGTACTCAATTCGTCTGTATGTTTTTTTTTTTATAGGTGCATTATGTTGTTGTTCCCAAAGTTTGGTTCGCTGCATTTGTACTCATTATATTACATGCCCGAAGGGGTACTTATTGTTGTTACTTTATATAGATGTTTGTATAATTTAATTGCAATAAATAAATAAAATAAAGTGAGAATAAGCAAAATATGTACTAATATTTGTTTCTACTTAGTTTAATTCTAAATTTTACTTATATGTTACATTTAAATTAACTGCCAATAGGTGTCATTATAACTGACGGAGTGCTAAAAACTGTTGTTCACTACGCCTCGTCTATAAATTCTTTAAATGTCGTTAGGAACTTCTCTACTGTGGCGATACTACGTAGGGACAAGAGCAGATTGATAAGTGTTGCATATTTTCCAGACCTTGACCTGGCCATCGTATTCCATTGCTGCGATAATAGTTCGGAAGTCTCTAAGCAGGTGTTGGACCTCCACTACACGCTGCGTACTCTTTTCACAACCTTCTTCAAAGATCGGATAGTTGATCTCAAGTTAGAGGGCGCACTTTACAATGTGTAAGTATATAGAATCGTTGAATTTTGATTCAGATTAAAGAATAAGTATATGAATAAGAATGTCTTTATTGCTTCATCATCACCAGCTCACTATACGTCCCCGCCGAGGGGCTCGGAGCCTACCCTAAAGTTAGGGTGACTAGGCCATAGTCAACCACGCTGGCCAAGTGCGGGCTGGTCGACTTCACACATATCTTTGAATTTCTCCGCCGATATGTGCAGGTTGCATCACGATGTTTTCCTTCACCGTAAGAACGTCGGGTAAATTATGTACATATGAAAATTCGAAAAAGCGAAAATCACATTGGTACATGGCGGGATTCGAACCCAAGACCTGTAGATTACAAGTCAAGTGCTTAAACCACTGAGCTTATTGCTTACTAATGTTAATTACATAAATCAGTAGTCAACTACTTAACTAGGATTCCTGTTTTTAAGTAGCCAAGGACTTCCCTTACAAAGTGATACATTTTTAGTGAGAAACAGAAAGAAAATTAACTATTTTTAATGAATTTTAGCAAGTGAAATTAATAAATATGTGTATATATATTTACATGAAATATTGTCATGTCTGTTTTTTTAGAATCTTATGAAGTAATTTAAAAAAATGACAAATTGTTAAAGTTAAAGTAATAATGTATTAAATTTTGTAAAAAGCTAAATTATTAAAAACCAAAACTAAAGTTTCTTCTATACTCATAATATATAGGAAAGATTTATGTGTTTGGATTTTTGTATGTACTGAAATAACTCAAAAACTACTGGTACGATTTCAAAAATTCTTTCACCAATAAAAAGCTACATTATCGCTTAGTCGCTTAGGCTATATTTTTTTATGTTACGTGGACGAACTTACGATTAACAGTTTTTTTTTAAATAAGACAGATTTTTCAATAAACATTTTGAATTGGTAATAATTTGTTGCATAATTCTGTTGTAGTATTTAGAATTTATGATCATTTAAATTGTTTAAACTATCGTGAGACATTACTTTAAGCAAAAAATAATTAAAAACGGCTCAACTCATGCTTTTTTTTCCTCCGGTGACGGCACCGACTAGTTTCGGATCCTTCGGGGATCCTTCTTCTTCCAATAAGAAGGATCTTGGAAGGATTCTTGGAAGAAGAAGGATACCCGGAGGATCCGAAACTAGTCGGTGCCGTCACCGGAGGAAAAAAAGCGTGAGTTGAGCCGTTTTATGATCATGTTCGCAGATTGATAGCTCCCCTGCCGACCCCAACTGTACAGGGCTACCGCGCAATGTACCTCAGACTTTTGGACCCAGATTCCCGTAACTTCAACTTCCCCGTCACCGCCAAAGCAATGATGATGGTATTCGATCTATGGCAGTATCAAGAAGGAACGTGGCCAGGGTATGTTCCTTTTTCTATCCTGATTAAGATTGATTTTCGGATACCAAATTTTTGCCCCCTTTCCTTTAACACCCTTTTATTATAAAGACAAGATGAGAAGGGAAAGTAGATAGGAGAGTTGAGGAGATGCATGAGAAGGGGAAATTTTCTCTTTATGTGCGTTTCTTCTTTCGTCAATTAAGGCAATGCATCTGCAATTGCGTGAGTCTATGGGCAGCGATCGCTTCGCCTTAAGGATGGATGTTTGTTAGAGTTTGTAGCCTAAAAGGCTGAACGGATTTCGATGAAATTTGGATTAGATGTAGAGGATAGTCTGGAAGGACACATAGGCTACTCACTTTCGTTTTTTTTACTTCCACGTGGACGGAGTCGCGGGTAGAAGCTAGTAATGAAATAAAAATATTCTATCGTTCTCTTAAGATTGTATCTCATACGAATTGAATACTTTTTTTCTATTCTGCTTTCAATATTTCCTACACCTTCCTTGTTTTGTACATCCAATTATGAAGCCATAAGGTTATAAAAGTTAGGTTTAGTTTCATGCTTTAAGCCACTAGATGGCATTATATTAAATTTAGGTTATTTATTAAGGATTTTGCGGTTATTTGCTAAATTAGCATATTCGTATAATATTGTATTTGCAATGAGAATACTTCTGATGTTAACTTAATACTTTTTATTCTTCACCAGGTTTATCTTAATGATAGACATGGACCAAAGCACGCTGGGTCACGTCGCTAAGTTAGACCTCATGAGTCTAAAGCAGGTTCTATATTTTTTACAAGTGAGTAAAAAATTTTATACACTTCTTTAAGATTAGCGATTAGCTCCAGCTGCGATTGAAGAATCGTCGTATCTTTTCTGTCATCTGTTACCCTTCCTGTTACCGTTCCCTTTATTATATAGCCTACTACCTTTTGCCCGCGACTCCGTCCGTGTGGAATTAAAAAACAAAATTGAGTAGTCCATGTGTTCTTCCAGACTATTCTCTACGTCTATGCCAAATTTCATTGAGATCCGTTCAGCCGTTTATGCTACAAACTCTAACAAACATCCATCTAAACTTTCGCATTTATAATATTAGTAAGAAGTAAGATATTCAGTGACAATTTAGCTTTCTAGTTGCGAAAGATTTTTTTCAATTAGCGTGTTTCATAGCGAATTTAATGCTTAAAAATCAAATTATTCCTCTTTATAATGTCTTCCTTAAATAAACAACAGCATTAGTAATTGAAATGTTACAGTAAATCTTTTTCTCCCGAATTATTTTCAATTATAATCTAACTTGTGTTTCACCAGGAGGCAATGTTGATCCGATTGAAGGGGGTGCATTTCTTAAACGCACCGTATTTTATGGACAAGGTGATGATGTTGATAAAACCTTTCATAAAGAAGGCTTTGATGGACATCATACATATACACCAGCCGAAGTCTGAGGAGCTCTACGATTTTGTACCGAAGAAAGCATTTCCGAAAGAAGAAGGCGGTGAACATAAAGATCACAACACTATGCGAGGTATCATAAAATTTTTATACTAGCTTTCTCCCGCGACTCCGTCCGCGTGGAATTAAATAAAATAAAATTGAGTAGTCTATCTGTTCTTCCAGACTATCCTCTACATCCATCCATCTAAACTTTCGCATTTATTATATTAGTGTTAGTTAATTTTTCACTAGTCTTTTAAGTGCCAGAATCAAGGCCATTTTTACTATAGATTTCTACAGCGCCCTATAACTGCTGTAAAAAACTATAATAAAAAGAGCGTAAGTCCCTTTACGCCCGGCGCCCTGGGCGGTTGCCCCACCTCGCTTTACCCTAACCAAATTTATTTACTACTGAGAGTGACTTCTTAAATCATCAATATTATTCAGCGCCATCTATTATCGAATTATGAAAATGAAAATAAAAATAAACTGCACATTTTTCAAGAAATCAAAATGAAGCAATATCCGATATAAAAGATCTTAAAGAATTGTAAGATTTTAAATAAAATATGTTTTTGTTTTTCAGACGAAACAATCGATTTATTAAAAACAAATACACAGTTCTTCAAAGAGGAGAGTCTCCGCAGAGTGAACGAAGCACTCCGAGCCGGAGGTAAGAAGACTGTTGAAGATCTGTTCGGAATACAAGGCAGCTTTAAGAAATTAGACATAGATTAAATAAACCAAATAGAGTATAGAGATGTTGAAAAATGTATGAGGGTCTTATATAAATGTAAATAAAATGGTTTATTTTATAAATTTTCTCTTTTATTTGATACCTAAGTTCTTAAAATACCTTTAATATTCAATTCAAGGCTCTTTTAGGAGACGTATATTGAGCTGATGATGATGATGATGAAGATTAGAGATAGATGAAATTTAAAATAAATAAAGTCACAGGAATCACCTAGTCTAGAGTCCTTGCTCACCATTGTCACTTGCCGCGCTAACGATTCGTTAAATTGCACTACAGATTATCGAAATTATAAAAAAAAATTATAATAACACATTGAGTAAACATTTGATATCCGTTCTTATTCCCTTTGTTACGGGATCGTATATAAACTGGTTTGATAATATTCAGTTTGTAGTGAACAGTGGGAGTTTGCAAGATGAACTTGTTATATCTGATTTTGAACTTTTTGATCGGCCTGCTCACAATTGTGGTAAGTAATATTTGTACACTAGCTTTCGCCCGTGACTTCGCTACGTGGAATTAAAAAAAAACAAAGGTATGTAGCCTATATGTTCTTCCAGATTATCCTCTACATCTATGCCAGATTTCCTCGAAATCCGTTTAACCGTTTAGGCTACAAACTCTAACAAACATCCATCCATCTAAACTTTCGCATTTATATTTTTATGATTATTGTTGTGTTTATAGGAGTGACTATATATACATGATAGATAGAATAAGAGCACGCGCACGCCTTTGACTAAAATATCACACAACTGATAAGTCTTGCTTTGATTCCTATAAGGTTATATGGGCACACTACTCGATTTTTAGTTGTGCAACTAAACAGTTAAATGGGCTGCGAAACAATCGACAATCGCACACCGGTTGTGCGATAGTTTAGTAAAATGTGTGCGCTCTTAGAAATGGTATTGTATGGAATAATGTGATTTAAAAACAGAATGTTTTGAGTAAACTTAAAATAAACACGTTTAGATAGTTTAGTTACATTGACAGCGTGAATGAAAGGGGATTGAAAGGAAATTTATGAAACGAAAGCGGCGATCACTGCACGCTTTCGTTTCATAAATTTCCTTTTAACTTAGGACTTACATATACCGTCCAGATTGATGAGATTTAAAAAGGCATTGTTAAAACCTGCAACCGATGTACAAGCGGAAATCCGTGATGTTTCACTTTATTAAAATTTCTCTTGTTCATTTCAATAAAGGGTAGGCAACGCATCCGCTATTGCTAATGTCTATGGGCAACGGTCGCTTTGGCATTTGGGCGGATTCAGGTGGCTGCTTGCTCGTTTGCTACCTTATGATATAAAAAAAAATTATGTCTGAGGTCGCTGGCTTTAGATTACGTGTGAGTTCTGTTTTGTTATAACTGTGTATGTGTTTACAGAGCGGTATGACGACTACTCCGCGTGGCGCTGGGCTGCAGCAGGGACAGAAGGCTGCTGGCTGCCATGGCGGGCCTGGTGGCGGACCTCCCCCACCTCCACCCACTAGTAAGTGATTTCACCAGAGGACTAACTCTCTGCTGTTCTTACCCTCCTTTGTTGATCTACGGTAGGCAACGCATATACAAATGCGAATGTTTATGGGCAGAGGTCCCTATTTTAGTGATTTCAGGTGGTCGCTTCCTATTTGTGATCATACTTTATAAAAAAAGTAAAATGCATTGTTGTCTTTTGTCTTTAGAAACAACTAGCCGTTGCCCGCGACTTCATCCGCGTGGTATTAGAAAACATACGAACTATATAAATAACAAAAAGCTACGTATCCTTCGGGAACCTGACATTTCTCAGGGTTGAACCTTATCCCATGTCTACTTCTGATTTACTTTTATATCTGTGCCAAATTTCAATAATATATGTTGAACCGTTGCAGAATGATCGAGTAAACATTAAAAAAACTAAACTAACGAATCCCACGGGAACCGTAACTATTCTCGGGATAAAAATGCCTATGTGTTCTTCCAGACTATGCTCTAAATCTGTGCCAAATTTCATGGAGATCTGTTAAGCCGTTTAGGCTACAAACGCTAACAAACATCCATCCATACATCGTAATTTTCGCATTTATAATATTTAAATGATTACCTGTTCGCGAATTCGTCCGCGTGAAATTAAAAAAACAATAATTTATTTTTAGTAGCCCAGAAGTTTTTGAGTTACATCAATAAATACAAATATGCAAATTTTTCCTCTATATAATAATAGAGATATCAATAAAAATTACAGTGCAGGTGAAGTAATGTGCATATTAACTTCTGTGACGGTATTCCGGATGGATAATTGTAGACAATTTCTAGTAAAACTTTTATTTCAATTTTCAGATAGCACTGGTTAGATGACGTCACGACTTACCTGCACCGACTTCAAAAAAGGACACTGATTGAAAAATATATTATTTCATTTTAAAAATATCTTTTATTTTAGAAACCTTTCTGAAATTGTTAAACAGGTGTATTTACATATGTCTATACTTCTATACTATTATAATAAAGCGTAAACACACACTTCTTTGTTGCCTAAGATGTCAGCAATCACAGCATATTTTTGAATAATTCTTTTTTTAATAAAAAGCCCTACACTTACTTCACGCTTTAGGCTATATATTTTCACGGCATTAAACGTTGGGGGTAAATACTTTGGCTAAAAACCCTAATATGGGAAAGAGACCATAAGTTGCTGCCAACATCAAGGAAGCAAGGTTGTCATCATGTCATGTCATTTTGACATTTGCAATTGATAATTTGACAAATGTAAACAATAAAATAATATTTTCATAATTTCATGCGGACGAAGTCGCGGGCAATAGCTAGTCTGTTCATAAAGAATGAAACGAGAAATTTAAATTCATTAAAAATTTAATCATTATTATGGCCGTCGAGTTTTGTAGATATACACATAATAAAATATATTAACAAAAGTTACATTTAAAATCATAAAATGAGAATTTAAAATCCTAATTTACAGTACAAATCAAGTATTTAGCGCGCACTCCTTTGACTAAACTATCGCATAACTGTTTAGTCTCGCTTTTATTCCTATAAGCATATATGGAGGTGCACACTACACTTTAGTTGTCCAACGACATAATGGCGTAAATCAAATAGGCACAAAATACCACGACCTGTCTTATAAAGGTCAATAGAGTACACAGAAATACAGACTTTTGGCAATATAGACGTACAAGGATCTTATGGCACTTTTTTGACATTGACAGGGGGCACGTACTAATTTTTAAAGTTACCAGTAAACTAAAAATTCCCGACTTTCTTAAATCTCCCATGTTGAAAACAAAACTAAACTTGTATGCTGTTTTTTTTCAATAGTATTTCGAAAATAAAAACGGCGACATCCTCCCTCGGTGTTGCCGCTCCTCCGTTGGTCAAATGACGCTTTCCAGATGACATTATAAGTGAAAATTGCCAAATGCTTGATCCTTGTAGGTCTATATCTTGAGTTCGGCGATCACAGAATAATTAAAAGTCATGATTACACTCAGACCACTGCCGACATGTTGACAAAATGATTGAAAATTTGCATCTATAGCAATCTTATTTTTTGTTGACCAAAATTGAACCTTAGTATACTAATAAAAAAAGTACTTTTTACTGTAGCATTATATTACTCTTTAACACCACTTCCCACCATTATTTTATAAGATAAAAATAGAAGGGAGTAAAAGGGATATTAGTTAATTACGATTAAATATTACACTAAAAAGATTCCTCAATGTTTGGATTAGTTGACAAAAACTTTTAATCTAAAATTAACAGATTTTACACTCTGCAACTATTTTAATTAAATACTTATTTTGCCAAGATAACAAGGAAATTGTGTATTCTAAAAGCATATTGTGCAATTCAATCAGAGAGTTTATCAAATTATTAATTCCTCGCTAAATTCAATCTAAGATTGTCAGAATATCTGCAGTAATCGAGCGTACGAGAGCCGGTTCTTTGGAGTTCTTCTAATGTCCTATTTCCTGCAACTCCTGCAAGTGTTGCCTCTCTTCTTCCTCCCTCTGTAGCGCCTCCCTCTCCGCCGCGATGCGCGCGTGCTGCTCCGCGATCACTCTAAACAGCTGCGCGTGTTTGGCCGCCGCAGCCGCTACTGCCTCCGTTTGACGAGGTACTGATTGTACAACATCTGTAAAAAGAAATTGTTCAGTTACTTTATTACAAGTTGTTATTAAAAGATAAATAGATGTAGGTTCGATGTTGTTTAATTGTTATTCTTTATTGTCAAATTAATTAATTTATTATCAAATTAAAGCAATTCTATCCTAACGCATGTTTAACTTTTGCAATGATGTCCCAAAGGCCGTAATTTCACGGGGAGACTGAGATGTCAACGGCGGTTTTAGTGCTACTCTACTCCTGGACGAGTTTCCTACAACGCCTTTTTGTAACTAGGGGAGAGGTTAAGTGTTGTGTCTTTACGCGTGTGATTTACAGATCTACGGCACCCGTTAGTTGTCCTCCAACCGGAATTTGGGTTACAGCAGTGTGGTATTTTACTAATACATACGTTTTTTTATATATAACGTGGCAAACGAGCAAGCGACCACCTTAATCGACCAAAATGGCGAAGCGACCGCTGCCCATAGACATCCGCAATTGCAGATGCGTTACCTACCCCTAATCGAAGGAGGAGGAGATGCACATAAAGAGGATATTTCCCCTTTCTATGCATCTCCTCCGCCGTCAAATCCACTTTTCCTTCCCATACTTTCCTTATAAGAAAAGTGTGAAAGGGATTATCGAACTTACTTTCAGGATGTGCGTGCTCTTCAGCTATTCTAGCGTACAGTTGGAAGTGCCTGTCCTTAGCCTGGGCTACGGACTCCGAGTCGGTGGGATGTTCAGGAGGCACATCGCTGAGCACGGGGTGGAAACCCTCCCTGTCTGCTACATAGTCCACTGTGCGGACCTTTTGTCGAGGATCCACGTAGGAGAAGGAGCCTGGAATGTTTTAGTGGATTTTTATCGATTTGCTCATTTATTATTGTTTTTTAATCAACAATTAATTATGGATTGGAAGTTTATACCAATTAAAAGTGTATGTGGGCCACCAATCTGATAAAACACATTAAATAATATTTAGAAAAAGTAGACTAAAGAATTAGAATCTAATTATTAATATTTGTTCGCTGTGATTTACCTATCAGGACTGTGATGTAGACTGTGTTTTAATCTTTAAAAACGACTTTCATACCTTTAACAACACCACTTCCGTCGCTGACTTCAGAGTGCTGTCTATCAGCGTGTCCGGGGAACCTGCCCGCAGTGTAAGAGAAAGAGTAAGGTAGTGGCGGCGGTGGTTCCGTGCTTGGATCTTCTAGAATATGTGACACATCACCGCTCGCTAGCGCTATCGCTGATAGAAGGATCAAGAGCTTGTCGGACGCCATCTGGAAAATAGAAAATATGTGTTTTGATAAATTTTTTGACCGACTTCTTAAAAGAAGGAGGTACTCAATTCGTCTGTATATTTTTATGTGTGTTAACCCCAAGTGGATCTATTTAGAAAATTATTTTTTTAACTAATAGGTAGTGCTTGCAGGAGTGTCCCATTTTTTTTAATAATTAAGACGACAAGATAGAAACTAACATTTTGTACAACTAACAGTTAGACGTATGAATGTGGAAGGCGAGAGTGGTCTGCAAAATCCGTGCCATTTCCAAGTATTAAGTTAATCGTTAAGATAGAAAATCCTTACATAAATAAAGCCTAAATTGGTTGTATTTACATAAAACAGTCCACTATGCGAACGAAATACTGGGATGGCTGTTTTTTAAATGTGTTATAGTTTTTGGTAATTCGAAATTTAAACAAATGTCAAAAACGACCGAAAAATTAAATCCGATTCAGTTCTTATACAGTCACATTATTAAAAAAATGTAGTAGTTTTTGTTAATATATATTTCAAAATCGCAATCAAGTAATTTTATGCGCGCAGTAATATGATATTTAACCTTTCGTGCGTTTTTTTTTCTTCTAGTGTACATGACCGTTGCCGGATGTATCAGCCAGTCCGGTTTTAAGGACATTTTGTGTCATTTATACTAGCTGTGGTTTACTCTACTAATATTATGAAGATAAAAAGATTTGTATTTTTAGAATTTTTGTATGTATTCGATTCACGTAAAAACTACTGGACCGATTTCAAAAATTCTTTCACCATTAGAAAGGTAATTTGTCTGTGAGAAACATAGGATAGATGTGGATTTGACGGAGGGGACAAGAAGATGAAAGACTTTCTTTGCGTCCCCTCTTTTGTCTAAAGGTGAACTAAGCGTCAATTGCAGTTGTATACGAGCAGGGTTCGCTTCACAATTTTGGTGAATTCAGTTGCCTAATTGCTCGTTTGGGATCTAATGATAAAGTATTTTAGAATTGAATTTCTTTTCCGATTTCCAAAAGTAGGTGGTTCTTAATTCGTCTGTATGTTTTTTTCTTATTTAAAAATTTGAGTTATATTTTTGACAGACTTCCCAAAAGAAGGAGGTACTCAATTCGCCTGTATGTTTTTTTTATTGTGTTATAAAGGATACGAACAAAGATGCGTTAGCGGGCAAGTTTTGTAAGTAATAGGAATGTCAGAGATGAATCGTAGAACTCGTTAATTTGACCTTTTCACCAATTGCGTCATTACGTACTCCTATACAATGTCGGAACGCTAAATAAACTACACAGTATATACTCCGTTTTTGGCACGTTGGACAAAAGAGTACGCTTGTATCGACGTGCCAAGTCAATTGTCGAATACTGAAAGATTTAAATAAATCTTACCAATATTATAAATGTGAAAGTTTAGAGTGATGGATGGATGGATGGATGGATGGATGGATAGATAGACGTTTGTTAGAGTTTGTAGCCTAAACGGCTGAACGGATTTCAATGATTGGCATATATGTAGAGGATAGTCTGGAAGAACACATAGGCTATTCACTTTTGTTTTGGCAAGTGACAATTACAGGCATGCAGGCATAATTCTTATTATAATTTTAAGAATTGATTAAACTTAACTTAAAATTATTAATTAAAACTCTAGATGTGATATATTGCTGTCTTTGTTTGTTTCAAAGGGAGTGAGAGAGATAGAGTTATACAGGTACTAGAACAGTGGAGATTCACCATAAAGGCAGTACATCCATTGCGTATCTGCAATGCTAAGTCACGATTTAACTTGTGTACTTATATCCTGTTTTCCTCGTATATGATAATATTAATAAAATCGATATTTAAGATAGTTTGTAACGCCATTTGACGGAGGGAATTACTATGAGATCATCGCTTCATCGTAAACACAATTTGTTTTGTTTCTGAACACGATTTTGTAGAATTAACATATTATAGGTTATGTTTTATTTATTAACAATAAAATGTATTTTACTGCATATTGACTAGTATTTGCTTATTAAAATGAGTGTTTTTCATTTAGTTGTGTTGGAAAAATACTATTTAATTTTAACACTATTCGACACTAACCGGAGGGCGCTAGTATTCTGTTATAATTTAGTTCGACTTTTGTCCACCGATTTAAATCACTTATCGGACTATACATGTAGTTCGTCATTGGTTCTTTTCGCAAGTAAAGTTTGTCCCCCCTTATCCTACTCTGTAGGGACGGCGCGGCCGGTTTCGTCTTCCAAATAACTCTATCATACGTCATCTCAGTCATCACTCCCTTTATGATCACGTTCTTTTTGTTAAATGAGATTCATCCCTAGAGTCCAGTTAAGAGCGTACACCTTTGATTAAAGTGCATAACTGTTTAGTGGCGCTTCGATTCTTCGATTTCTAAGAGATTATTATGGAGGTTCGACACACTACTCGATTTTTAGTTGTGGAAGAAAACAGTTGAATTATCTATGAAACAATCGACAATCGCGCAACCGTTGTGCGACAGTTTAATCAAATGTATGCGCCCGCTGTAACAACTCATATGTTATAGTTTATTTCACCTGACGGTAGCAATAATCCGGTTCTACAATATTACCAACAAACTGCAAACGCAACGAAACTGTGTCAAGATTTAGTAATACTAAAATACATGCCTAAAACTTATACTCTCCCTTTCATATTGCGAATAAACTGAGCTGTTTGTTTCTTAGTGTTCTACCCAGCGCGGACTTATTATTATTCGAGTAACATAAATGTAAAAAATAATAATTGAACGGAAGAAGAAGAAGAAGGAAGAATTTAAATACCAACTTCTCCCGCAACTCCGTCCGCGCATAATTAAAAACCTTAGTAAGTATGTGTTCTTCCAGACTATGTTCTACATCTGTCCTAAATTTTATGTAGATCTGTTCAACAGTTTAGGCTACAAACATCAAACAACCAATCAAACTTTCGCATTTATATTAAAAAGAAGCAAGATTGTATCGCTATTAGAACTAACGGTGTGTTTTAAATTTCAATCTGTCAAGAACAACTCTATCCAATTTAAATTAATGGATTTTAATGAAAACTCAAAATTTGTAAATACACTATGATTATTTGACATTATTTTAAGTATTAATTACATATCTAATTAAAAAGAAATGGTAACAAGTGTATCGTTGTTCGACCGCATACCGATCGTATTTCGATCGCAATGTGTGTCAAGAGTAAGCCGCGGCGGGTGTCGGAGGAAAGTGTTCCAGTAACTCGGGTCAAGGTAAGCCGACATGAGAATTGTCGCTTTTTTAGAGCAATACAATATTTGCATGATAAATTTGCTAGCGTAGGTAGTGTGCTAAGTTTTAAGGTGGGATACATGAGCGCACTTGAGTACTGGCTTGTACAATACGTAAAATTGCATTGTAGTGTTTTTGTTTATGTTAGTTGCTATCAGTGCTAAAAGGCGTTAGTCAAAGAGATTAAAACAATATATAGAGAAGACATAGTTGATACTTCACCTAATCTCACTAACCCTGTTTTATTGCTACATCCTCAAAACCATATGTCAATTTAAAAAAAATATCTAAATTAAACTTTAGTGTTTACATTTTATTTTAGTTTATTCTTTAACAAAAGATAGTACCTTTCATTGACAGTGCCGGAGAAATTTGTTCATTGTCTTGTCTATATACTTTTGAAATGTTTGATAATAGTATGTCACCACATTATGGCCGGTTTCCCAGCTATATTTAACAATTCGTTAATGGTTTTGGTTCGATAACTTTATTTGTGTCACTTGAATTTTACTCAGTTGAAACTTTTATCAACCTTACACTAATGGATCACTAGATTATGACAAAATAAATGAAAACTTCAGAAACCCAGCATCTGTGATGTTAAAAAAACAAACATTTTGTAGGTAGGTGTTAAAGTTCATGAATGGGGAAGTGGGCGATCCCAGCCCACTATCTCAGTTTCAATTGTTTTGCGTCTACCGCGTATTGAGTCATGTGCCATCCGTATGTGTTATATCATTTACGGCCGAATATTGAAACGAGAATTGAATGTATAACAGCGTCTGAAATGATAAAGCCGTGCGTAAACTTCAAAATTTCATTAATATTTTGACGTTTGATTCTATATTCTAGATTCTGAGCAGCGTTTTTGAAGTCAAATGTTAAAAACTCGTTTCATTATCCTGCCGTTAGACACGTAATTGAATTGACATGATGTATCGTATATCAATGCCTTATAAGCCACAAGTGAGTTATTGCTTTGGAATTTTCGGTATTTTATTATGTCATATAGGACCAGGATGTTCGTTTCACTACTCTATAAGAAGCCAACAGCAATGAAAGGTTAAATTATTTTTAATATTAATTGACATATCCTGATCGTAGATGTTTTGAATCATCATTAAATAATTCCTTTATTATTTAAACTAGCTGTTCCCGTGCGATTTTATCAGCATAAAATTATTTTATTGTTCACATGTGTCAAATTGTCAATTGCAAATGTCAAAATGACATGACATGACAAAACTTGGCAATCGTGTTTCCTTGATGTTGGTAGCAACTTATGGTCTCTTTCCCACATTAGGGTTTTTAACCAAAATATTTACCCCCTAAGTATAATGGCGTGGAAATATATAGCCTAAAGCGTGACATAAGTGTAGGGCTTTTTATAAAAACAAGAATTATTCAAAAATATGGTGTAATTGCTGACATCTTAGGCAACAAAGAAGTGTGTGTTTACGCTTTATTATAATAGTATAGATGAATAACTGAATCACTCAGAGTTGTGTTACGATTTGTAAAGTCCCTTAGTGAAGATATTACCAAGGAAACATCCTGCTGCTGCTGCTGGACACCTCCATAACGGTTAGGATCTCGATGATTGCTACAGAAGTAGTACATAGTCTAGAAGAATATATATATGAGTTACGTAATGAATTACAGTATGGAAGATTCATGATGCATAAACTACGTAAGTGTGTATTTGTTATTTGTCTATTTCGGTTGC